ACTCATACAACTATTTGATGTATTATCATGAAATTTTGTACAGCCATTCATGGTCCCCAGTGGACGAATCCCACTGACTTTGGCAATCCTGTCACTTTTCCTGTAGCGCCACCAGGAAGGCTCACAAACACAGGTTTGAGTGGAATGTCTCATCAGCTATTGGAGAGACTGCCATGAAATTTGGTAAAATCTTAACAACTTTTCATCTACCGCCATCATCAGGTTATAGTTTCACTTTGTCCAACACTTTGGTTTACAACTTGGTACCTGCAAAACTAATGAGATTCCCATAAGCCTTAGCTGTACTTTGTGTTTCTTGCTAATTAGAAAACATTAGTATGCTAACTGACTAAACTAAGATGGTGAGCATGGTACAAATTATACCTGCTTAACATCAGCATGTTATTGCATGTCATTGTGACTATGTTAGCATGTAGATGTTAAGTACAGCCTCACAGAGCTGCTAAAATGGCTGCAGACTATTTAGTCTTATTAGTTTGTGTGGGACCTCTAAATGTGCGAAGATGGAAAAACACAACCTGGGCTCTGGGCAACATTTTCCATTCGTGCCCTTCTGTGTCTTCCTGTCCTTGACAAGGCTGTATAAAAGTGACGGTCTCCACAAACTCAAGTTGCTCACCATTCAATAAAACGGTGCTGGAGGTGTTTTATTAATGTACATCACCCGTGTTTTGCAGGTAATAATGTTGATACCCGTTGTCTTTTCTTGCATGTTAGCATGATCTCCTATATAAACTCACAATTGTCCAACTCATTGTAGTCCTTTATATAGGTCATTCAGTAGAAAGTTTAAATTCATGATTATAAAATACTTTATGACCCAGATGGGAAATCTCTGTAGCTTTCTGGTCCTGCCCTTCTAGTTCAATAATTGATTGCTAAAGCGTCTTTGCGTCCCTATTGAACTGTCTCCCTATTTAAGATTGAATAACGCTCAGTCATGACGCATGAACCTAAGTCATTATACCATCCACCTCAGAATAAATCCATCTTACTGTAAATTCTTAATACAATCCAGTGTGTGTGTGTTTATGAAGTATAACACTGATCTGTCTCTGCCTGTTTTACAGCTATGCTTCCATAATCCCCACCTAATCCACTGCCGGAATTTGCGTGTGTGTTTGTGTGAGTTGTTTCTTTATGTCTGTAGATGTGCAGCATGGTATTTAAGCTTTTGGCTTTCAGAGTGCCTCTCTTTCCCACGCCTTCCATACTATATGTAATACCATAGATAGCCCTCCAGTCATCCACTCCTCTCCATCGAACCACTCTGCACAATGTCCTGGACAGAATCACTCTGCACTCCGCTGTCAATATCTCCATTTCCATTTCAGTCAACGGGGTAAACACAGTGAAAATTGAATGGTTATGGGGAATACTACTTTTAAATGAGCTGATGAAATGGGTGCAGTGATGACAGGAGTGAGGGAAGAGTGTTTGAGATAGAGAGAGGTGATCATGTCAGTGCAACTAAAGGATAAAAGAGCAGAACAACAAATCAAGTTTCATTCCTCACAATCTTCCACTTGTTCTTTGTCACATTCTTATTACAATGTGAGGATGCTTTTTATGTACAACCTTAAGTATGGCTGACGAAAGACAAAAAAAAAGCATGCATATACCCTTTTACCTAAAAACACTTTGTCTAAATGGTCTATATTTTGCTCTTACAGCACACATTTGTAATCTTGCAATTAGATTTAATGTGACACTTTACATTTACATAGATTTCCCCAGCCTGGGAGTCAGGACCCTACAAAGGGTCGCAAAATGATTAAAAGGAAATTGTAGAAAAGCAAAAAAAAAGATTCCGCTTCACAATTTATTTTCCCCTGTGACTTGTTTGATCATTTTACCTGTTCAGGTCTTGAAAATATTCAATTAAAGAAAAGTAAAAAAGACACTCTGGTCACATCTGGAAGACTAAAACCATTTTGTTCAGTTTAAGGGGTCACCAGCTAAGAAGGAGAACCACTATTACAGTCTAATTTTTTGGGCATTTTCAGTCTTGAAAGCAGACAATATAGAAAGACAGGAAATGAGGGGAAAGAGACATGCAACAGAGGTCCCCAGCCCGACTTGAACCAGGGACTTCAGAATTACATGGTCAGTGGCTTAAACTCCTAGGCCCCCATTGAGTATGTCTTTGCATGCAGTTATGCCAATAGAGTATATACATTGTGACATTGAACAGAAGAGTGACACCTAGAAAGCTATGTGAAGAAAGAAAGAAAGAAAAAAGAAAGAAAGAGATCGTGCTGAAATGACTGTGATTTGACTGTGTTAAAGAATGGTTCCTTATGATGAGTAGAAAGAGGAGTAAGAGGTTAATGAGTGGGACCCTCAGCAATGATAATCCCATTAGCACTGTACTGCATGTTAAGCTCTCCTCTAATGACTGATGTGTGTGTGTATGTGTCCATGTGTTTCACATGTGTAAGCGCGAAACAGCGTGTGTGGGGCTGAGTCCTGCTTGGACCGTCCTAATTATCAGATGTGACTCATGTGAGGGTAATTACAGCATCTGAGACAGTGGGAACAAGGCTACGAATGACCCAGAAATCTACAGGCTAATGAAGCGATAAGGCACACACATACACACACTCTTTCTATCTATGTCTCGCTCTCACCTCACACAGAGAGACAGGGACAGAGCAGGAGAAAGAAAGAGACAGTCAAAAAGACTGAAAGGGGAACAATGTTTCTCTCAGACTACATTAGAGAGAGTAGAGAGACTTGGGAGGAGCTGTCAAGAGATGCTCTGTCAGGCGGCTTCAAACTCAGCCCTCTTCCTAGTATTAACTAATCTGGCTGCTCTCTGTTCTCTGTCATATCTGGCCACGGCTCCACAGCACTGTGGTCCGCTTCCACAGGCACGGATTAAGCTTGGCTGCCCGATACTAAATTCTCTATTGAAGAATCATCTAGGTGTAATCCCTGTGTAAAGCCAGCCCCATATGGGACAGCACATTATATCTTTTACCATGATTTTTATACAAAACAGACTGAGATACATAAGATAAACATAATGGTGATTTGGGGTGGATTGGCAGCAGAGCCTCAGGCTTGCCTTAAATTCTTACGTAAATCGAAATCGGTTCACTTGAGGTGGCCCCCCAGAAATATAGCAAATAATTCAGACATCTGAGGGGATGTTTTTCACCTCAGTGATTAAAATATTAAAATTTTAATACATCCTGTCACATATTTCTTTAATAATCCCAACTCCTAGTTTTCATATTTGCATTAACATTTTCTATGATTATTCTTTCTCTAATATTGAATTCTCAGGGAAAATTAAAATATATCACAAAAGTATAATTACCCGCACAACATTAAGAAAATAGAATTGGATACTGGAAACTCATCACAGTGGAACAGATCTGCTTTTCCTGTGTTTTACTCAGTTTTACTTTCTCTATCACTACAAGAAAAAAGGGCATTTTCTGTTAAAAGACAACTATGCCTGATCGGTAAAATGTAAATGTAAATCTCTGTATTTGTATAGCCTAGAAAGTGACATTCACACACATTCGTACACTGGTGAGACAGCCACCAGCTGCCCCCTATCGGTATGTGTGCCCTCACTGACTTTTTTATGTAATGGATCAGGCATTGACCATGATATGACTATCCATATTAAACACAGTTTCTTCATCACCATCATCAAAATTCTGCATTTTCATTCACTCAGTCACAGAGGGCTGTCAGTTTAGTTTTTCATGCCTCAGCAGTCCCTGGGTTAACGCTGTCTCCTTACAGATAACAATTTTTGTTTGGGGAAAAGAAAACACTGGTATTGAATCAGCACTCTGCATTAGCAAATATCCTGCATTGAAGTATTGGAAACGGTATCAGGAGAGAAAAAATTGAATTGCTGCATCTCCTCAGACAACTACACAAACAAGCCAAAAGAGTTTGGCTTATTACCCCTTAAAATGAAGCTGCAAGTCATGTCTGAGTAGTTCGCTGTTCAGCCAAAGAGAGTTTTCTCTTCTCACGTTTTAGAGGCCTGAAAATGTAAAACTATCTGGTACTTCACAAAAGAAAAGCAAAAGGTAGAGACCCCTCTGGTTTATCATGCAACCACTTGTGGATGTCATGACCCTTGGGGCTGATAAGCACTTCCTTAGAACACAGACAACAATCAGCAACCTGAACTTGAGCCTTGTTCTCCAAACCACAGCGTTTCACAGTCCCCGCACTCACAGAGACAGAGGGCATTTCTTTTGCTTGTACCAGTTTGCGCAACAGCTCCACTGACGCGGCAATTTAAGTGAGAAGTGATACGAAGTGCGACCCACTCATGGTGTTGGTATGTGAAGCAGAGCATGTTACCTTGAGCCCACGCTCCAGCCGTCACATGATTCCTGTCTCTATCGCTCCTACGCAGACTGAACGTGTGTGTGTGTGCGTGTGTGTGTGTATATGTGTGTACGTGTACATGATTGACTGTGTGTTTGAGTGAATTATCTTGATCAAATTCCCAATTACACAGATGAGTGTCTCTTCAATTCTGTGCTCTTTGTAGAAATACACAAACAAACAGACAGAAACGTCACACAAACACACCCACTCATGCACACATACACACACACACACACACACACACATACACACACACATACAGGCCGGAGGCACCAGTCACTTCATTTCCTATTCCACCCCCTGTTTTCCTCAGCACCCTCATATCCCTGGCCTCCCCAACACTCAACCCACAGTCACTATAGCAACCTCACACAGAGCTACTGGCAGCCAGAGGGCCAATCATGTCATTACAACATCTGTCAGAAAAGAGAGAAACACATCCTCAAGCATTTATACAACTGCACATACCCCCAGTAGCACTTGGACCCAGGTGTCCACGCATCCTCACAAACAGATAGGAAAGCACCTCACAGGCTTTACGGTCATTAACGCACACACTCAGAAATACACACAATTCTACAATAAGGTCAAGTTTAAGACAAGTTCCTTACCTTTGCTCATGGTTCATCCTGGAATGGGAAGATTAAAAGTGGGAGCTGAAATAGAACAAGATGAGATTTTTCATGTGAGTTTGTAAGTTTCTACGCTCTTGATCAATAAACAAAAAGGTATGTCGATGTTTGTTTGGGTTTTTTTGCTGTTTTTTTTCTTGGCCAGGAAAACTCAATTGCTTGAAAACCTGTCTTGGACAAGACAGAGAGATAAATGAATGGAGGCATACACAGGGATTTGCTGGTAAAATGGGCCAATCAAGGCTGCTACAGAAACATGCCTGCTGGGTATGTTGCTCTGCTGCCACCTGTAGACCAGACCTGGTACACCACCTACACAAAGTCTTAAGACGCTGACCTTAGTGTAGCCTACCCATCCAAACTAGGAAAATAGGAACTAGGAAAAAGGATTGGTAGTTGAGTTGTGCAAACTAGGTAGTCGCTGCTAGATAGTCATAGACCTGCAGTGTTCCACATGCTGTCTGATTCAAAATCAATCCCCTCGATAACATCTTACTTCCTTCAGTGTACAGTACATGCGACTCCCAGAGAAGCACTCCGCTTGCCTCAGTATACGCTGTGCATCATCTAACAATACTTTCAAAGAGTTTGATGAAATCTATTTTTGTTTTTTGAAGTTTGCTGAGGCTTGCTTTCAAAATGAGTCACACACAAACTCAAGCCAGCCTCAGAAAGCAACACACTGAGTGAAAGTGCCACTCAGAGCAACACACACACAGCCTACGTGCAGCCTCTGCATCTTTAAACAAACCAAAGAGGGGTGAGCGAATGCTTTATATTTAGATTGGTGACGCTATGTGAACTTGAGCGCTAACATGAGAGGAAAGCTCAGCGATGCGTTGGAGAGCAGCATATTCAATAATGTATCAGAGGCAGCGTTTTAAAAACAGCTGGGGATCGCTGCTCTGTCTTGTCCTGTCTGCCTGTCTGTCTCTTTGCATGTCTTCCCACCAGTCTGTCCACTGCGACGGCAGCAGATTTGCCACTCCTGTGGGGAGCTGATGTTTGGTTAAACTTTCATCCTGTCTTCGCTCGCTCTTTCTGTCCCTGAGGACAGAGTCTCTATCTGTGCTTCCTTTGCTCTCTTTCTCAGAAGCAAGATCCCACCCCTTTCTCTTGTCTTTTTTTTTGTATACCCTCTCTGTGTTTTACTCAGTGGACATGGCACATCGTAAACAAATCTGGCCCAGAACAAATCTGCTTTTGACAGAAAGGGAAGGACATTTATGTGTGTGCATGTGTCTGTTCGAAGGTCATCTTGATATTCAGTGCTTACCTGTTTCAGTACACACGTCCACTGTGCTGCTTCATCCTTGAGGAATGAGAGAGCAAGAAATCTCCCCAGAATTCTCCTGCAAGACAGAAGAAGAGACACAGAGAGAAGGCAAAGGGAGGCAGGGAAGGGAAGGGAAGGGGAAAATGTAGGAGAGGGATTAGGAATAGAGCCTTAGCCTTCCAGAACTCAATGCTCTTAAAGCCAACTCTGCCTGCCTTTCAACTAAGTTCCCTGTCTTTGCATCTGCTTGCACTTTCATTTGCATTGGTATGTGTGTGTTTATGTCATAGTATGCAATAACTGGAAGCTTTGATCTGAATGCTGGAATAGATACACACAATTAATGTGCAATAGTTGTTCCAAAAGCAAACAATCTGGTCAAATGGACAACCTTGGTTCATCTCCTATACTGGGTACTGGGGCTTTTAATGTCAGCTACCTACAAGCCATATAGGGCTGAAGAGATGAGTGGCTAAAAAGCCATAGTGGGGAAAGCATCCAGCATGTCCGTATGGTAAGGACACACTCTGACAGATCAAAGGGGTTCCATTAGGACACATGTGTGTATACTAGCATAGAGGGGTGTGGGACGTAGGCAAAGAGAGACTCTGTACACATACACCCAAGCGCACACATCCAGATGTTACTCTTCCATGCTGTGCGACTGCAATAACCCTGTGCTGTTACCCAGAATCCTTCTGCCATCCACGGCGTGCAGCAAAGCGCACCGAGTTGTAGCAAAATAGAAATCACCTCGCTGGTGGAGTGAAATCAGGCTCTTAAAGGATCATGTGCAGTTGCACAGTTACTTATAACGGATTATGAAATCTGTTTTGACACCTTCCGCAGTAGTGCTGTGATATTATATGCAATATTTAAATATCAAATCTCAGTAGTTATAATTTATATTTTACATATTTTACAGCCAAAATAACAAGAATTAGATTACAGCACATAAATGGTTGAAATATTAAGATAGTTAGAGTGATTCTGTCACTGGCAACTGGAGCAAGGTGCCATAACAAAGAGTCCCCACTAGTCTGTGCTGTTACACCACTCCTGTGTTTGTGCTGCTGACCGACTTACTAAATAAGGGCAGACGATGATGGCAGCATACATTAACTGCAGGATATGATGATGTAAAGATCATGAGTGATTGAATAAATAATTAAAAGTGGGACATTGCACTCCTTGACCTCTAAACACCTGTTTTCAGGTCACAGTGGCTGCATCTCAAAAGCCATTTGAAGAATCTGTGTCTCGCTCTGATGATCAGTCTCAGACATGAGAGAGATAGCTTGCATATATGTGCACTTTGGCAAATGCATGTGCTTTACGTGTGAAAACTAGTTCACACTTTATTTTCAGTCGATGACACATTCCTCCCTGGATTCCTTTCCACTCGCACTGTGTTTCTTCTGTAACGATCTGACAATGGCCGGTGAAATCAGTTGGGTGGAGGATTATTATAAGCATCGGTTACCCTCTATTGCAGGCGCCAGTTCTCCTCTCCATCATGTTATTTTCCTGTTGGTGTTTCAGTGCTCCCTGGTTGGAAACCACCTTGTTAGTGAGAATGTGCTTCACCTGTGCTGGCCTAGCAGAAGTAATTAAAGCCTCAGCAGCCTTGTGCGGGAGAAGAAGAGTTTGGAAACTAGATCATTTGGAAAGCTCATGTTGGCTCAAGCAATTTCAGTTTACTGGTCTTGCACAATATAGCTAGGACAAGTTATGTTTATCCTGTTTTTGTGGACACGGCATTACTGTAGTTTTCTCCCTGAGTTTTTGTGTGATAAAGTGGCGCCCTTGGTGAAAGTCTGTCTGCAAACCCTTTTGGTTGCTTTGAATATTTGTGAGGAATCCCATGGGAGCCCTTCAGAGCAGCCTCTGAATCCCTTTTATGTGGATGACTGAAGTGACTATTCAGTGAGAGTCAAAATGTTGATAGTAATTTGAAGGAAATTCAACTGTAGTTGTTCTGTCTGGACATCACCTTAAAGGTTTCTGCTTGTGGCGAAAATGATTCACGCGCAAAGCAGCAAATTATTTAGGTCACTAAAGTGCTTTCACATACCCTTTTCACTTCACGAACCAAACTATTTCTGCACTGACCTGCACTGCAATGGCCCAGATAATTTTTTGATGTCTAACCCTAACCAGGGCAGATCAGTGGAACTCGATTTACTTTGGTTTGGCTTCACTCAGCATGTGTGAAACACTCTTCTTAGGTTTCTGTCAACTGGACTCAACATCAAGGCAAGTGGGTAAGCAGGGCATCAGATGGCCATCTCTTAAGCCCTACTTTCAATGTAGTGCCACAGTAGGGGCCATGCATAACACTGACATGATTACCTACAAACTTTATCTCTAGACACAACCCTCCTTAAACTGCACCATCCCTTTTTAAAGCGACAGTTAAGTGTGAAATGGTTCAAGACCATATGCTCATCAGTCATGTAATTTTCTAGAGAAAATGTATTTCAGCAGCAAATTTAACTTTGTAAACATGTTTACCCTTTCGAGGTGTGTGTGTAAAGTACTGATCAAAGTTTTCCCAGAATGTTAAGGAGGTTATTGCAGGTCAAGCTGGCAACGGGGACCCTCAGAGTGGCATGACACGATTAAGGGTAAACAACTTGAACTTGTTTACAACTTGTGCATGTGTGTGTCTGACGTTTAAGAGTTTACACAAAGGAATAGGCATCTAATCTGCCCCCTCAAGAATGATTAAGCACTTTGAGAGGATACATGATGCACAAATTCCTGCATAACTCAACTGAGCCTTCAAAAGTGACCCACTGCTCTTGAACCTCTTGAGATAGAAAAAAGGGCTACAGTGGAATAAGGATTATTGAACGACGGTTAAGGTCTCTCTCTGTGTATTCATCCAACAACCTGAACATGAGACAGCAAGATAACATGGAGACAGAGAAGAAGCGCACATAGGATAGAAATTCAAGTCACACTTTAATACTAAACTACATAAAAAATTAGCTCCTCTTAAAACCTAAAGTAGGATAAGTACAGCTAAATCTGGGATTTTGAGTCGAGTCAGATTACAATGCTCCACTGTGCCTATGTCTTGATTTAACATACCAAATGCAACAGAATTCCTTGGAGTTAAAACCAGAGATTTGGTTTTAAATCTTATGCCTCTATTGGTATTCTCAAGCTGACATAACACTCATCTCAATGAGAACAATGAGATATATGTTCACTGTTAGAAAAACACATTTTCTTTGACTTCATGTTCACTTTACTGTAGGTTAGGTTAGGGTGACGGGGATGGAAAATGGAGTCTTTCTGCGCAGTGTTTTGGTTTCAACACCTGCAGATTTTCTGTTTTGGTTCAGTCTCACCAAAGAACACATAATTTGACTTCATTAACCTTGTTTTCAGCAGCAACAGCAGCTGGTTTCAGCAAAAAAAATAAATAAATCTCTGATAAACCCACTGTACACTATGTGCCCTGCATGAAATGGCAGAGAGACGAGGTGAGCAACTAGCCGCTGAACATAGCAAAGCATTAGCATAAAGACCAAAACAGAGCTAAATGGAGAGTGAAGCCTGGATTTAGATTGGCTAGAAACACAACTCCAAATCAATGCTAATTTTGCCCTGTGTCTGCTGGATGTCTAAATAGGCAGTTGTTTGCCAACATGTTCATCATATCAACTTTGTTGGTGATAATACTGTATGTCAAACTTGTGTTAACTGCTTGTTGTGTTTACCCCAAGTGGTCAACAAAATAAATGAATGCAGGTTTATATGCATTCCCATGTTTCAAATGTTGGAATAACATGACAAAAGCACTCCAGTGATTTAGTATTGCATTTCTATAAAGTTGTATGATTTGCAAGAGACAGAATGACATGGGGGGTGGATGACCAGGAGAAAATATGAGCACTGAATGAGCATGATTTATGTAAGGCAATAAATAAACAAGAGTTGCTGATGCTACCGTGCTGACCTGAATCGTTTCTTTTATTCAATCAAATTCAACTAGGCTCCTTTTTTTGTTGCTCCCAATGTTGGTAATGATTCATAAGAATTCAATCTTTTACATGTGGTGTAGGTGGGGTATGAACTTTTTTCAGCTTGTCATAGGGGACATGACAGAAAATGTTTGAGAACCACTGCAGTAGCTGAACAAAATTCTTTATAGTTTGTGTTTTATCTGATACTGTACTGAATTTGAATCTTAAGTAACCTCTCCTGGTGGCCTTCAACAACTCCAGCGCTTATCTAGCTTCATGGTTCTGTTTGTTACCTTGAACTAGTGAACTTGATGCTCAAACATTTCGGGAGACTTGTTTGTCAGTTGAATCAATTTTTATATTGATTTGTGATGATCACTAATGCAACAAATATTAAAAAATGTATTGACTTTGGGTGCACGTTTTGATGTTTGGTGTTGCCAGTGGCAACCTGGCAACCCCTACTGTCGAGCCCTGAAGAGAATGGTCAAAATTGATGCCACAGTGGAAGAGATATCCTGACCTTTTATCCCTTGTATGGGTCTGAATCTGTATTTTTTGTTAGTCCCTCCATGACTGAGAAATGCCTACATCCTTCAAACTCTACAACCCATTTATCACCCAGGCCTTAAAACGTGTAGTGTCCCAGTCCAAGACAAGATAACTGTGACAACGTTGCTGGGGTTATAAGATTTGACAAAGTTTCAGCCCCACAGAAGACATTACACAATGCTGTTGAAGGATACTTCTTACTGGTAGGAAGAAAAGCTACAGCAGAGGGTGACTGTAAGCAATCCATAACACTGCAAAATCCATGTAATGGTAGTGAAATGATGCAGCTTACACAAAGGGCACAGACATTCCTGCTGTGAAACGGTGTCACATCTTTGTGAAATAGTCGTATATTTTCAAATTCTATTTAACACTATAATGACGAGAAAATCACGATGACTGTTCTCAGCAGACAGCAGATGCTTTTGTGTGCTTGGGGAGGCCCTGCAGTCATGGATACATGGTGACAACTCTGAATTATCATTTGGTAGGTGCAACAAATTACTCAGTGGTGTCCCACTTTTAAAGACATATTAGACGCTACTGT